ATATATGCATATATATATAGATATATATAGATATATATATATATATATATATATATATCTATTATGCGTGTATTATTGGTACCGTAGTGGCTAGACGACAGATGCGTTAACCACTACACTACGGCACCCCAGGGCAACATTATGTACCGCAAGCATGAGCACGCCGTCGAACAGCAATGCTGGTATGCATAGGTACCCTCAGTGTATGCTGGCTACGGTCTCGCTCGGTGAAGCTGCCGTATTTTTTCTCACGGCATCCTGAGCATTATAACGGCCGGCAACGACGCTCGCACCTCGTCGCCCGCTCTCTCCTCTCTCTCATCCTCCTCTCTCGCTCCTCTCTCTCTCTCCTCTCTCTCTCTTCCTCTCTCTTCTCCTCTCTCTCTCTCTCCTCGCTCATCCTCTCTCTCCTCGTCTCTCTCTCTCTCTCTCTCTCACACGATGTCAGACACCGGCCCGCTGTTGATTGCCACGGCTAGTGACCGGGTTTGTTTGTTCCGGGGTCGCCGGCCGCCCCGCCATCGCCGCCACCGCCGCCGCCGCTGGCAGTGGTCCGTACCGGCCGCTGGTGACGGCACGTCTGCCCGTTCCTCGGCGCGGCAGCAGGGTCTGTACGGCGTCGTGCATAGATCTTGGATGACGAATTAGCCACGTTATGAAGCGGGATCCAACGTGAATCCCACTTCATAGCGCCCGACCATATTCCTATGGCTCAATATCTAGTGGATGGATGGGGCTCTGCGCCATCTATGGGTCCACTATGAACCCCACCCACGCCCATACCTAATTTTTGTGTCAACCCTGTCGGTTGGTTCGCAACCCCGAAAGATCTTAAGGAAAGACGAAAGCGCTCTCATGACCAGAGGTGGTAAGAGTGAGCTTTTTGTTGCCGACCAAATTTCTGGAGGAAAATTGTCGCCAGCGACGTCACGCGATATCATATGATAAAATGGTAATGAAGTTCATGCCCAGTGGAGTTGCCAGGTGTCAGCCTATCACCAAAAGCTTTTTTCAACACTGCAATTTTGGACATGCACACAACCAAAACGCTCAATCGTACACTGTCCTTCAACAAATGTCAGGATAAACGCTACTGCTAGGAGAGCAGGAGCACCCGCCCCAGGCTGAGACAGCCCAATTACAGCAGGAGTTTTCTTCCTCTCTCGGAACTTCCCGGGGCCTCACGTTTTAACTAGATCTACGACTGGGTTTGTTTTCCTCGACCACAAAAAAGATACAACGAAGGACCTCGCTCGATAGCCAGGGCAGCAGAATGCATGGCAGACTTCAAACCAGTGGCAAACAGCATTGGGGGGTGACGTCCAATATTGCGGGCCTCCTCGAGGCCATGCCCCTTATGAAAATTACGTGTGCGCTTCGAGCCCCATCTCAATCGCCATCAAACCATCTACCATACCTTAAGCATGCTCCAAGCCTGGTGCGACATGTTTTGCCTGGTGGGCGCCTTTCACCGTACCCCAACAAGTAAATTGTATCGAAATTTGTTGATGACTTCACATCAGGCGGCTAGTTCTTTCCGATTACGATACTCGTTCAGAAAGGAGGGAGAGAAATGACGATGCGACCCCCCCCCCCCCCCCCCCCTACGGTTTTCTGAGGATATCAATGCGGCATATTGTGCCGTCTTGCTCAAATCTTCTTTTTCAAATCAAACCAAGTCAAAAGCCTGTGGGGCATTCATTGCATGCGTGTTGATATAAAAAGTCCCCCTACCAATTCTGGTTTCAAAGAAGTGACGTTTTACGAGCACTGCAAGGTGATCCAAGGCCGGCGGGTGCGGCGGGCGGCATGCGACGATTCTGCGGACCGCGAAGATCTGCGCGGAAAATCTCCGCGTACTGCGGAGATTTTGGTCCCGCGGTCGTGCTATTCAAGCTCAGCAGCAGCTGGCGAAGGTTCAGCTCGTAGCCATGCAGCTGGCAGATGAACCAATGTACGGGTGACTCGGTGGACAGCTCAAACAGCCGGAACGCGCCGCCTGTCGTTCCGGTGTTGATGGCGGTGCCATCGCAGCCGAGCCCATTGGCGTGACCGTTGCACAGCAGGCTCACGAAGTAACCCGCTGCGTCTCTTGCGCGCCAGATCTTCGTAGAATCTCCTATATTTGATTTTAAGCAGCCAGTCCGTCTCTGCTGTCTTGTTGGAAGGCGTTGATGATAGCAGCGGCGGCCCGGTTTGAGCCACCGTAGTTGTTAACCGCCAGAGAAATGTTAGATCGTTAGCGTTACGATCCACAGTGACAGTGGTCTCACCCGTAACGAACAATCGGCGTCGCCGCCACCTTTTACCATGCACGGAGCCGTGTGACAATCCGTTATCCGTTATCCGTTAACCGTTATCGCCCACACAAGCATATAAACTGCAAATCAACATCACAATACTGCGTAAGCAATCACGATCTTGGGCTTAACCCGGTGTAAGAACCAGCTAGCGGATCTAAAAAAATGCTATGTATTTGAGCCACGCAGCACGTCACTCCGGCTGGCCTCCAACGGCGTATACAGCTCGGTACCCTGCCCTCCAAGTTTACGCGTCCCCTCGCCGTTTTCCCTGCCCAACACTGCTGTCCCAAAAACGTTTTTTCCCGCTGCTCCTCGCCCCTTGCGCCCACTTCGCCGTTTTCGCCGCGCACCAGATGAAGGTTTCCCTTCATACCCGGTCTGCTGGAGCATTTTCATGATTGCACAGTGTAGATTTTTATAAAAAAAGTTATGCTTTTTATAAAAAGTAAACTTGTAACTGTTGAGCATTGTTTTGCTGGTGTCCGTCGTAATATCTATTTCATACTTAATCGGCCAGGTAGCCAGTAGTGAAGAAAGTGGTAAGACTGAGACTGGTTGGAGGGACCAATGCGCAAAATAGCGTGGCGCTAGTATCGAATACGATTTTCCTGGCCTGCAGAAGAAAAACTGCTCTCGCATTACGAATATCGACTTTGATGCAGTGGGACAGACTTGAAAGTTTATTATTAATCCATGTGCCAAGGAAAAACTCTGTCTCAGTTGATTCCAGAGATTCACCCCCTCGATGACAGAGCTTAATGTGCATCCATGCAACATCATGCTTACAAGTGCAAAGAAAATATGCATATGAATGAATACTGCAGAATGAATGACTTCCAGAGCTTTCCTGTTACAGAAGGAGTGCTATCATCAGGAAAGAGCCAACATTGTCCTCAGAAGCAACCAAATGCCAGCCTTCCACTGACCTCATAGGACATTTGGACCACATTACCATAAAACTTCCTGCTATTGGAAGTAAAACCATCGGTGGAGGGGAGATGGCAATGCTACCTGTACCCCTCCCCCTCCTCATTTCCTACATTTGCTACACCACCCCACTTTTAACTTTTATTGCCTTCTCATGGCATACATCATTGGCTGTCATGCGAATTTCCAGCAACATGTTGCAAAAGAGGTTGAATAGTGAATGATTATTTAAATGCATCAAAACATTGATGAAATAACTGTATTTCGAGCAGAGGCATAATTTTTAAAGATAGGTTTGGGAAGCGGTGAAAACATATGCAATGGATCCTCAAAATATGGATGTCGCCTAGATATATAAATAAATATGGATGTCTCCCACTTCTTCACAAAACAGAGTTGAAGCCGCGAACTGAACTGAACTGAAGGGAAGAGGACTGGTCGCTTGTGTCCGCTACAGTGTGTCAACAGCCTTGTTGGTGTCTTAAAAGGCGATTGGGATAATCTCAGGTCAATTTCTAACTGGATCGGATCAGCCCGCTGACTAATCCTGAACTGTCAGTGCCTCTCGTCGCTGAGGACAAGATGCTGAATCGCGGCAACCGTCAGCGACGTAAACCAGGCAAAAATTAAACTCTAGGCAGGCATTCAAGACACTGCAATGGGAATATTGCTTGTAAATTTGCAGTGCATTGAAAGTAAACCGCCCACCTGATATTAGTCGCGTCGCAACGATTGAAACATGCCCTTGCGGGCAGATGAATCCGCATATCTGGATCTTTTTCAGCATTTTATGCCGTCAAACTCGGGACACTGTGAGTCGGGTGTTAAAAAAAAAACAAATCGGTCGAGCAGCCGGGCCATAGGAAATACCCTGATTTGTCGCCGATCTGTCGCCGAGTTGAGTGACCAACTAAAAATCTTAGGATATTTTTGACACCGGGGTGGACTGAAACCTTGAAATGATACCATGGTGCCGTAGAGTACGACAAAGAGCATTTACGGAAACCTCTTTCGTCGCGGCGCAAAAAGCCGTTATGCAATCCTAAAAAGTCGTCATGCAAGTTTAGGCTCATTTGCGAGCGACATGGGTCAAAATATAATAAAAAGGTGGTATAGAGAAAGAATGAATTGGCCAGCACGCTCATGTAGTTTTCAACACTAAATAATGAATAGTTTTGACGGTAGTGGCTTGTATTCGGCGCCGAATTTTTAAAACTTTGCCCCCTGCTAATTGTATTGCAATTTGCAGCGCAACGGTGCGTTCCACAAACTCGCGATGCACGCTGAAAGCGTAGCCGCTTCAGTTGTGAATCTTAGGAAACAACATTCACGCCTGTACGCACACTGGGTGCCAAGATACAACCCAAAACATAAAAAACCATCAAAAGCAGCCAATTCTATCTTCTCAACACGTATGCACGTGCCGCGTACCACATGGTGCCACAAATTCACACCAGTTCGATAGCCCATTCCATTGCCTGTCCCACTAGGCAACTTTTGTGGCACTGCGACCCTTGGTTATCGAGATATGGCTCCGGTAAGCGAGCCATATCTTTTATCAGCCGTTAAGCTTTAGTAAATAATCCATGCAGTTTTTAGGAATCGGCCTTGGATGTGCATGATGGCCGCCGCAAAAACAACCCATTCGTTGTGAGTCGCCGAACTTGGACGGTCAGCTGGGTACTGACCAAAGGGGCTGTACCTGGAGTTGACCTTGCTTCCCTACACTCCCTGTCTTCCAGACCCAAAGCATTGATCGACTGCCGCCAGATGCCCACCATGAGGCCGCTGCTCTGCCTGCTGCTGTGCGGCTGGTGCGGCGCGGTGCCGCTGGTGTCGTCCTCTAGCGGCCGCCAGGGGGCGCCCCCGGCCGGTCGCCAGGTGGCGCCGAGTCAGCAGATCCTGGGCGAGCTACAGTACCTGTTCCGGCAGGCGGCTGCCGGTCAGCAGCCGCCCGCCGAGTACGGCGCCGCGCGCGAGGAGCTCGATCAGATGCTCGCAGGGCTGGACCAGCTGGCGGCCGTGGTACCGAGCGCACAGCACCAGCCGCCCGTCCAGCCCGCTGCGCCCACAATGACCACAGAGCAGCCTGCAGATAAGCCCATCATAGACCCAGGTATTGTGCACTATGATTCGATTCCATGTACCGCAACCAATGTGCTCCTTACAGATGCAGTTTCGATGCTCGATGCTCGTGACGAAATCCACGTTGGCCAGATGTCTCGCAACGGATTTCGCTGAGCGGGCAGTACGCCACTTGATAATGTGTTGAATGTAGGATCAGGTCGAGCTACACACTAAACGTGTGGATCAAAATCTATGCTTTACTCACCTCGCCGACCTTGCCGTTAGTTGATTTACGCACGTTTCGAATGTTGTAAACCACTCGCCCAATAAATCGGTCATGACACCAGCAGGGGACGTGACGCATCTAAAAATGGATTGATCACATATGCAACTGGAATGGTCGCGGCTCATTAGCACACGCCGTGTGTGGTCCGCACCGTGTAGTGATGCGCAACGACAGTCGCAGCTCGAGGTAAGCGCGTCGCGCACGTGTGCAGGTCAGCTGAGCGTCGGGTCCACGCGCCGCAGGACTGTTCGTGATCCAGGGTGTGCAGACCTGCGGCGCCGGTGCCGGCTACTGCGTGCTCGGCTACAACTGCTCTTCCGACAACGACTTCGAGGACGATGCGAGCGGCCACTGCCACGGCTTGCGCACCGCCTTCACTCCGTCCGTCGAGTTCTCCTGCTGTCGCTTCGACGCGGAGCGCCGGCGCACGGCGACGCCGCGGCCCACGCCCACCACGACAGAGGGCACCACCTTCGATGACGGTCTGGTCGACTCGATCGTCAACTTCGGCGACGAGATGCCGGAGGAGCCGCATGGCGAGAACAGCCAGATCGTCGACATCGTAGCCATCATCACGGACAGCACGGGCATTGTGGACATCGTGACGCGGCCTTACACGGGTCCCTGGCCGCCGAGCGAGGAGCAGGGTGGTGGCGCCGTTACGCTTCCGTTCGCTAAGCCGGGCGAGACGTTCGAGCCCGGCTCTATGGTCGGCCTCGGCCAGAACAACGTGAACCTGGGCACGACGTCGCTGCCGCCGGCGCCAGACGCATTCCAAGCGGGTGACCTGCCGCCGCCGGAGGAGGAGGCCTCGCTGCCGGCCGGCGCAGACGTGCTGCTCACCACGGCCGCCACCACGCCGGCCAGCGTGGCGACGAGCACGCCGCCAGGTGAGCCGAGTACGGCCGCGGCCGAGCCGCCGCCGCAGCAGCTGGGTCCGCTGGCCAACGTGCCCGTCATGGACCAGAACCTGGACTACATCGGCGACGTCGACTACGACCAGCACCTGCTGCCGGCGCTGATGCCAATCCGGCCCGGCACCAAAGCCGGCGGCGTGGAGGCGACGCTGGAGGGCAGCGGCGACGCGCCCGCGCCCGGCGACGACCTGCTGCCGCTGGCGGCTGACGTCGCCATCGAGGGCTCCGGCTCCGGGGCAGAGGCGGAGGCGGAGGCGGAAGCGATGCACGAGCAGGCGCCCGAGGAGTCGACCCCGGCACCGCAGATTCCGGCGGATGCAGTCACGGCAGAGCGCCCCGCAGGCGCCGTGACAGCCACGCCAGAGGAGGACGCCGCGCAGACCGGCGGTGCCTCGGGCTCCGGCGCTTCTGCGGAACGGCCCCCATCGACACAGCCCGCCGCGGAACTGGAGGAGTTCAAAGCCGGGAGTGCCCAGGAGGCAGAGCTGAAGGCGCCGCCGCAGAACGCGCACGGCTCTGTGGCGCTGAGCGCGGCCATGGGCAGCCTCTCCACGTCCGTCCGCCCGCCAGTCTGCGGCATGATGGGCTCGTCACTCGCCAGTCTGCTGGCGCGCAGTCGATACGTGAGTATCAGGGGAGGCCTGGCGACGGCTCCGCCAACGGCTCAGCATCGCCTGATGCCATGGATTGGACTCATGTATACTGTCATATTGCTTATCATACGCTTCATGGCATGTACTTTCTTTAATGCCAAAAAACCTACTTAATGACACCTGTAGCAACAAGATGTCATTGCCTGTTGGTTGCAAGATTTCGAGTTCGAAGGTCACCCAGTTGTGGTTCAGTTTCCCTTGCTGAAATCTGATCGCGCCCGCAGTGCGTCGTACTAAAACTGTCACGTCATCTCCCATACAGCAGTAACATCCCAAGGATGGCTCAAATCGACCGTGAATCCTTCTTATCGCATCAGAAGCATCCCAGTGCAAAGCACATGCGTAACCCCAGTAACCCCAGTAACCCCGCTGCCGCAACCCCAGGTCCAGCCATGGCCTGTCGCTACGTACGTGGCGCGGATGTGGTCGAGCCCCGCCGACTGACGCTCCGTGCGACCGGCAGCGCCACCGCGGCGCCGACAGCGCGCACCGCGGCTCGGCGGCGAGGTGACCAGCACGGTGGTCTGGTGCTGGATGGCGGCCGTCCTGCGGCGCACGCACGACCCCGACCAGCCGTACCGCTTCGTGTGCGCCGGCTCGCTGGTGGAGCGCGACCTGGTACTAACCACGGCCAGCTGCGCCTCCAGGTGCGGTGAGATGTGGCGCGTCACTGTGGCGCCGCCGGCTGTTGGCTCAGGCGCAGGTGTGAGGCCTGTGTTTATCACTGTCTCTCAATGTGCTCTTTGTTGGCACCGTCAGCATCAACTCGTTCCCTACAGCCGGTATACAAGGCTGATACATTGTGTCTGATTAGGAAATGGAATGCTGAAGTTTGCGAACTTAAGGGGACGTAGCGAACGTGCAAAAGCTGTATTGCAGCCCATAGTATGTTTCAGATGGACGGGCCTGGTCTATGAGTGGGGAGTGGAGAGTTTGAGAATTTTTATTGATGGCACTATGTATTCCTGCGGACAGGCTGTTCAAGGAACCACTGCGGGACTTTGTGGTCCTGCTGGGCGCCTCCAATCTCCGTGTGAGCCTCGAGTTTGGCGTACAACACATGGAGCTGCAGGAGATCATCATTCACGAGAATTATCAGATAGATAGTGATGTTCACTCCAACGACATTGGTAAGCTGAACAGTATCTGATCTCGCTCTTTTTCCCGCTCGCAACTCTTCCTAACCTCATTTCCGAGCTGTCAAACGCTGCAGTGCAACCTTTTGTCAACTGCAGGCCATGGGTTGACTGAGGCGCAGTATGCTCCTTACCGATATAGATTTACTGCAAAGTCATTCGTAGTGTCATTCAAACATGCACATCTGGTGGCGACTGCAAAGTAACCATGTGCGTCCTGGGTGGCTGTGCTTTACAAGAGTAAACCTTGCCTCATGACATCACTGCATCGCCCGTGTCGTCTGACGTCCTCCCAAAGTTCCATCACCCGGTGTCACTGTAAGCCCCCCCCTCAGGTGCCTACATCACCCGTGTCGTCCGACATCCTCTCACAGCTCCGTCACCAGGTGCCACTGTAAGCACCTCCCTCAGATGCCTACATCACCCCTGTCGCCTGTCATCCTTCCACAGCTCCGTCACCCGGTGCCACTGTAAGCCCCTCCCCCAGATGCCTACACCGCCCCTGTCGCCTGTCATCCTTCCACAGTCCCGTCACCCGGTGTCACTGTAAGCCCCTCCCTCAGATGCCTACACCGCCCCTGTCGCCTGTCATCCTTCCACAGTCCCGTCACCCGGTGTCACTGTAAGCCCCTCCCTCAGGTACCTACACCGCCACTGTCGCCTGTCATCCTTCCACAGCTCCGTCACCCGGTGCCACTGTAAGCCCCTCCCCCAGATGCCTTCACCGCCCCTGTCGCCTGTCATGGCCACTGAGCGCGCGTCCGCGCCTGTCCGCAGGCCTGCTGAAGCTGTCGCGGCCGGCGACCCTGGATCGGACCGTGTGCCTGCTCTGCCTGCCGCCCGAGGGCATGGAGCTGACGGCTCGCCAGAGCTGCTCGGTCACTGGCTACGGCCTGGCCGAGGCCAGGAGGTGACGGCGGACGCCGAGCAAGGTACGCGTGTTCTCCTGAGGCCCAGCGCAGCCCGCTGCCGGCTGGTGACCCAGCGCACCGATGTGACGCACACTGGGTCTACTGTTTGCCGAACCGCGCCGGACGAAAGGACTCCTGCGGTTTCCACTAAATCTCTGTTCTCCTGCCAGTCAATTGTTTACGCATGGATGAGCTAATCTGTTTGTGTATTATTGATGTGGTTTGATAATTCATGTGATAAAATGAAGCCAAAGATAAGATGACGCTGTAATTACTACATTTCAATCAGACCGCTTGTTTGTAAGTTTTCACCCCACTCTGAAGACTGTGTATGCTAAGCCATGTGTTATTAACCTCTGCTTTGGCCGCGTAAGGGCATGATTTCGCTATGGTTTATTTATTGGATATAACTGTTGACGTCACCAATCGTCTACGACGCAATTCGCAAACTAAATTGTTGATTAAGACTAAACAGTAAGCCTCTGCAAACACAAGTTGGGAAATATAAACTAAGTAGTCGTGAGTTTCTTGTTACTGCATTGCTCTGTGCGTGCAAGCTGCGAAATCTATTGGGATACTTAATGCCTTCAGTAATAACAAATGCAGATCGGGGTATACGGCTTCCGCTTGCTCCCAGACCAGGACTGACTTAAGCCTATGCTGCCCCCGCTAGTGCTGTGCCGGTGGGGTCTCCCAGCGTCACCGGCTGTGTCAGACCTCACGGCCTCCGCCTCTCGCCCCCACCAACCCGCTGAACCGCCCCTGACCCGAGCGTCGGCCGCGCCGCAGACTCGCCTCTAGAGGACGCCCGGGGTGCTGCGACAGACCTCGATGCCGGTGCTGCCACGCGCCGAGTGTGGCGCCGTGCAGCGACTGGCGCTGCGCCGACCGGCGCTGGACGACCGCGACTTCCTCTGCGCCGGCGGCCAGCGCTCGGCCGACGCCTGCTACGTGAGTGGGGGAGGAGGTCGGAGCGGGTCCCTGGGTCTCACCGGGGGGGGGGGAGTCCCCGGGTCCTCACCGGGGGAGGGACCGCGAGGGTCCCCGGGCCTCACCGGGGAAGGGGCGGAGAGAGGGTCCCTGGGTCTCACAGGAGGGGGGAGGCGGAACGGGTCCCCGGGGCTCGCCGGGGGGGGGGGGGAGGAGAGGAGCTCGCTAAGGGGCCTCAGGGGCATGCTGACTGATCCCAGGAGCCCCCCTAAGAGGACCTGGGACTTACTGATTAGGACGGGGCCATCTGAGAGGCACTAGGCGTTCACTGCAAGGAGAAGCCTCCCGAGGAACCGCCGAGGGAAGAGCTGTCTCCGGGACCAGCTGAGGGGCCACCGGGGTTCACTGACAGGAGAGGCCTTCTAATGAACCGCCGAGGGGAAGATGGTACCTCCGGCCAGCTGAGAGGGCACGGGGTTCACTGAGACGGAGAGGCCTCCTAATAACCGCCGAGGGAAGAGGTACCTCCGGACCAGCTGAGGGGCACCGGGGTTCACTGACAGGAGAGGCCTCCTAATGAACCGCCGAGGGAAGAGGTACCTCCGGACCAGCTGAGGGCACTGGGGTTCACTGAAGGAGAGCCTCCTAAGGAACCGCCGAGGGAGAGGTGTCTCCGGACCAGCTGAGGGGCACCGGGGTTCACTGAGGAGAGGCCTCCTAAGGAACCGCCGAGGGAAGAGGTACCTCCGGACCAGCTGAGGGGCACCGGGGTTCACTGACGGGAGAGGCCTCTAAGGAACCGCCGAGGAAGAGGTACCTCCGGACCAGCTGAGGGCACCGGGGTTCACTGACGGGAGAGGCCTCCTAAGGAACCGCCGAGGGAGAGAGGTATGTCTCCGGACCAGCTGAGGGCATTGGGTTCACTGACGGGAGAGGCCTCCAAGAACCGCCGAGGGAAGAGGTACCTCCGAGACCAGCTGGGGCACCGGGGTTCACTGACGGGAGAGGCCTCCTAAGGAACCGCCGAGGGAAGAGGTACCTCCGGGACCAGCTGAGGGGCACCGGGGTTCACTGACGGGAGAGGCCTCCTAAGGAACCGCCGAGGGAAGAGGTACCTCCGGACCAGCTGAGGAGCATTGGAGTTCACTGACGGGAGAGAGGCCTCCTAAGGAACCGCCGAGGGAAGAGGTACCTCCGGACCAGCTGAGGGGCACCGGGGTTCACTGACGGGAGAGACCTCCTAAGGAACCGCCGAGGGAAGAGGTACCTCCGGACCAGCTGAGGAGCACCGGGGTTCACTGACAGGAGAGGGGGCCCCGGTGATCCGCAGACGGCACAGATATCGCAGCAGTCTTCACGCTTTTCAGGGGCCTCCAGTCCGCGCGCGAGTTCCGAGTTTATCAAACAGCACATGACACTGCAGGAGAGCATCCCTCACGGGAACTATCACGAGCCGGTCATTGGCCACGATGCGACGGCCTGCAAGGGAGATCTAGCCCACGACTCAGCCGACGCAGCTGCCGAGCAACAGGCGGCAGTAACGGAGACACGCACACGGCGACGGCTATAGCTGACGTCCAAAGATGCTTGTCCGGGCGCTGTAAGATATTGTTCTTCGATCTCGTGAGCCGTTGGTCGACATTGGTCTCAGAGGCTGGTTGACTCGATGAGGGCTCACAGGGGCTTACTGAAAGGAAAGAAGCAAGGTCACGCTTGAGGTTTGTCGCGCAGAGTTATGTAAATAGTGTTGCAAATGGCCGCGTGGTAGTGGTTATGTAAACAGTCGAACTGCATTCGGATTGTATTGATTTCATGCAAGCTGGACACATGGTCCGTGTCGGTGAGCGACCTGGACCTCTGACCTCGCTGG